AGCCGGACGTGGCACGGCGCGGCCGGCCTTTCGATATCAACTCGCTCCCTTGAGCACTGAGCCCCCCACCCCACTCCGTGATGTCCGCCAGGATGTCGCGCTCCCTCTGGCGGATTTCGTGTTCCCCGAACGCATCCCGGGCAGTCGCGTCGTCGAGGACGCTTGTCGAGGCCCGGCCGTCGAGGACGCCGTCGAGGAGCCGTCGGGACGCCTTGAATCGCGTTCAACGCCGTTAAGGATTTCGCAGGACGCGCGTAGGACGCCGTCGAGTGACGTCGGCAAAATCGCCGCATTTGAATGCGCTCGACGGCCGTCCATGGAACGCCGCGAGGCAACGAAAAAAACCGTGGGGGGAGCCGAGCCGGGGCGGCCAGCGGAGCTCTTTTGGGGACAGCTCCAAAAGCTGCAAAGACCGTTGAACTGAAAAATCTGACGCAGGTAAATGCACGATGGTGCCGGTCAACCAGTTTCGGGTAGACTTCCATAAACGGCTGATTGTGTTTGACTGCGCATTTGTTGTGATCAGGACCTAGGCACTGCTACCTCGCGAGAGGTAGTCCTCGAACAGACTCACCGCTTCGAAACCACGCCCAGTGAGTTGACCACCGCCATTGTTGCCTTCTTCTTTCTCACCTGCACTGCACATTGTGCGCTCGCCTCTCAAAACTTTTACTCTCGCTTAATTTTTTTTTTCACGATTTTATTCTTACTTTGGCAGGGCAAGCGCGCGGTCTATGGAGAGCGGTCGAACATGGATTTAAAGCCTCCCGCGCGTTTAAAAAATTGTTGTTGGCGAAAAGGAATTTGGGTCGGCGCTGTAAACGGGTGCACGACGCGTCCGCAGCTATGTCCTGAAGGGCTCATTAACTTTCAGCACTTCGGGCGCCATCATCCTCCGTCAATCTGCCCGGCGACAACGGCCAAAGTTGGGGATTTATGTCTCATTTAATTTCCAGTTCGATAGCGCGTTCGGTACATGCCATGGAGCCCGAGCAATTAAAAGACGATTTTTTGCAATAAGAGAGAGAGATTGATGGAGCAGGAGTTGAAGCGCGAGTTCGATATGCGAACACCAATCGCCAACCCGCGCGTTTCGGGCTGCCGAGGACGCGTCGAAGGACGCCGTCGAGGACGCCGTCGAGGACGCCGTCGAGGACGCCGTCGTGGACGCCGCCGAGGACGTCCGCGATTACCGTGATAACGGAGCCGTCCGGTGCAGCCAGGCTGACAGACAGTGGCCTGACCGCTTGCCTGTGCACGGCAGTGCTATCGTCTCGTCCCCCTCCCCGCCGCTGGAGCGAGCGCCTGCGGCGCAGGCACTGCCATCGCGCAGGCGACCGTAGACCTTGCCTACCTCTCAGGAGGTCGCCTGCTACTGCACCGCGCCAGCGTGACCACCGCCATTGTTTGCCTTCTTCTTTCTCACCTGCACTGCACATTGTGCGCTCGCCTCTCAAAACTTTTTCTCCCTCGTCGGCTTAATTTTTTTTTCACGTATTTTTATTTTTACTTTGGCAGGGCAAGCGCGCGGTCTATGGAGAGCGGTCGAACAATGGGCATTTAAAAAGCCTCCCGCGCGTTTAAAAAATTTGTTGTTGGTGAAAAGGAATTTGGGTCGGCGCTGTAAACGGGTGCACGACGCGTCCGCGCGCTATTGTCCTGAAGGGCTCATTAACTTTCAGCACTTCGGGCCGCCATAACCTCTCCGTCAATCTGCCCGGCGACAACGGCCAAAGTTGGGGATTTATGTCTCACTTTCTCTCTCATTCAGATAGCGCGTTCGGATCAGAGAGAGAGAGAGAGAGAGAGAGAGAGAGAGAGAGAGAGAGAGAGAGAGAGGACGCGAGTCGCGATATAGGGCAACACCAAGTTCGCGCCACTCCGCGCAAGTTTTCGTGTCTGCGCTGCGATTGTCAACAGGGCCACCAGGATTAGGGGCTGCCGGCCCTGCACCTCGGCTGCCGTTTTTGACGACGCGTCGGGGCGGCGCTCTCTAATTACACGGCGAAGAGTCCTCTGTCTCTCTCGCACTCGCTGCCAGCGACAAGGACAGAGCGACGCGTTACGTAATAAGTGGACCAAGTGAGAGACGTCTCGGTGGAACCGCCGGCCTGCCTCCTGCTGCGAGAGAGAGAGAGAGAGAGAGAGAGAGAGAGAGAGAGAGAGAGAGAGGGAAAATTTCGTTCTAGAAATCAAAACAAACTGAGCATTTTAATGATCCACCTTTTTTCAAGGTATCCCCCTCCTGTTGGTAAGAACATTACATCAACTTTAAAAACCTGACTAATTCCCTTTAAAAGAAAAAAAAACCGGGCCACCAATTTTTTTTTATCTTATTTCCTCCTGTTTCCAAACGACATCACGACCACACTTTACCTTCTTCCCCGTGTCCCTGCGGCCGCGCCGGGCAGGCCGCGCCGGGCGGACGAGGTGAGTAAACTTTTTTGATCTAGGAAATGGGCTTTGCGGGGAAGGGGAAGGGGGAGGGGGGACGATTAGGGACGAGGGGAGCAGTCCCACAGGCACTAGGGAGAAATAGTTGGAGGTATTGAATTGATGTTCAACACGGAAAGTGTTCGCAGTCTCCTGCAGTCACTTGCATCGCCCCTGAGAAGACTTTCTGGTGGTACCCGCCCCAGTCTGTCCGTCTGTCTGTCTGTCTGTCTGTCTGCTTGGCGCGATGGCAGGCTTGTTACCGGCTCCGCTTCCACGCGCCGTTTTCATACCATCTCGCCGCAATTTTTCACTCCGTCCGGCGGAGAATAGAGTAGCAGGGAAACGCGAGTGCTCTCTCCCAGCCGCTCCGCCGCCGCGCTCCGCCCACACGTGCAGCCTGCCACGAGGCTAGACAGCGCCTTGTCGCGACTCGCGGGAACAGATTGCGAGAAAATCTAGTCGACGGTTTTTCGGGAGTTTTTTTTTGTAACAAAAGCGTCCCACTCTATCCTGTTATACCGGTAGCGACACCGTGACTAGTGACTCTAGCGTCGGTCTGTGTGTGTGTGTGTGTGGGGGGGGGGGGGGGGGGCACGGAGGGGCGATGCGTGACTTACCGTGTGACTCACTGTGACACGAGCATTTGCATTTATATTAAGGTCCGTGTCAATCACCTTTCGATGGACTACCCGCTCGCGTCCCTTATCTCCGCGCGACCCTTTCCGATTCTCGTTTTCCGTCCGTGACTCCCTCCTTGGCCCTCTCTCTCTCTCTCTCTCTCCTCTCTCTCTCCTCTCTCTCTCTCCTCTCTCTCTCTCTCTCTCTCTCTCTCTCGTGAAAATTCGGAGCAGGAAGTGTTCGACGACCTTATCACCCCGCGCTCATGTAGGCTCGAAGAGCAACTAGTGCGGGACGACGCGGATTGCGGAACATAAAGACAACGTCGACAATGGGCGACTCAGCAAATTACAACCCAGCAAGACAAAAACAAGAGATTCGCTTTGGACACGTTTTGGAAATGATTGTTTGCCCGCCGCCTCTCTGAGACGGCAACTCTATTTTGGTTGGGTGAGTCCACAGCGCCGGCTGGCACAGTGTGAATTAAAGACGCAGGTGGCAACCTGCGACGGCATCCAGTCGGCAGGGCGTGCCGGGGGGCGTTCCAAGGCGTGCCGAGGCGTTCCAAGGCGAGCCGAGGCGTGCCGGTGCCAGTCACGGGCCGGACAGGTGTTGGGGAAGCGTCTTCTTCACACGCCGTTCCCATCACGGTGCAAATAGCAGAAGGAGAAAAAGGGGCCAGCGGGTAATGATATCGTTTTTAGCTTAGCACGCTCTCGTCCGCCACGGTCCGCCCCTCAGTCCGCCCCTCAGTCCGCCCCCGACAGTGTCGACACGCAGCCGCTGGCAAAAGATTCAGTCTGCCCCCGGTTATTTTCGCCCACTTATGTGGCAACCAAGCGGTCAAAACTCTGGACGCGTTTTGAGCTCCAGAGTCGCTAAACAGGACTCGAACCGAACGTGTGACCCCACCAATCGATTCCTCGTTCGGAGAGCAGTCCATTGGTGGGGTCACACGTTCGGTTCGAGTCCCATTTAGCGACTCAGGAGCTCAAAACGCGTCCGAGGTTTTGACCGCCTCCACCGGTCTTCTGGCCCACTGTGGACTGAAATAAACAGACTCGGAGTTGTCCCGCTCCCCGCTTCTCAACTGGCGAATGTCCCTCCTCTTCTTTGCCCCCCTTCCGTTCCTTTCCATGTCGACGGGCAGCTGTTGCCCTATTGTAGTGTGCATTGGCACCTGCCACTCAGCTGTCTCTAGCCAGCCATATTTCTCATACTTTCTTCTCCAGGCGAGTTGGACTGACTGGAGGCTTCGCGGCCGACGAAGACTCTGCACTGGGCCCTGTGTGTCTCTCTGCCTGTATTCCCTCGTTCGGGGGGTTCGTTTATGGACAGTGACCACAGTCGGATTTATTTTTGTAACAAGGTTAAAATCGGCAACGCGTCCCTTTTTATGAATTACATTTCCCCCCTTCCTCACCCTTCCGCCATGTGCATGCGACTGAGCAAGCGCTGTAAATTTATTTTTTTATTTTTTTTAAGAACTCTGAGAGCAAAGCAGATTGCTCATTTGTGCGGATTTGGTCCGAGGGACTGTGCAGGGACACCCCCCACTCTCCCCAATAAAGCCGGGCCCTTCACATCGGTGACAAGGAGCTCCTAATTTCGAGGTAGCGGGGCGCGAGAGCGGCAAGAGAGCGGCAGAGAGCGCTCAGACTTCACGAGAGTCCCGTGAAGGGCCTGCCTCCACGAGGGCCAGGGCCAGGGCCAGGGCCGGGCCCAGACCGAAGAGAAGTCCGCCGAGCCGAGCCGAGCCAAACCACACACGACAACAAGCTCTCATTTGCGCTACTTCTCCCCTCCGTCGCCGCGTCGCCGCTGCCGGCTAAAATGAGGGAAGGGAGTGTCCGCGGACGGGAGAGGAGATGGATTTTGGTGTCTGCTGGACTCGACCGAGTTTGTCCGTCTGTCTTGACCGAGTCCGTCTGTCTGTCTGTCTGCAGGTGACGGGCATCGTGGGGCGGGCCGACGTGCTGGCGTGTGTCTTCTTCCTGCTGTCCTTCCTGGCGTACCACGAGTAAGTAACCTCCTCCACACAGTGGGCCAGAAGGCCGGTGGAGGCTGTCAAAACTCCAGACGCGTTTTGAGCTTCAGAGTCGCTAAATGGGACTCGAACCGAACGTGTGACCCCACCAATGGATTCCTCGTTCGGAGAGCCATCCATTGGTGGGGTCACACGCTCGGTTCGAGTCCCATTTAGCGACTCTGGAGCTAAAAACACGTATCGGATTTTAGCCGCCTCCACACCGGTCTTCTGGCCCACTGTGCACTCCTCGCAAGGACAGTTCCACTTCCATCCTCAAAAATTGATCACGCCCCCATTGTATATTTTAAAACTTTTTCGCGTTTCGATGAAAAATTCGTCGCGGCGCGTCGTCATCCATCACCGCGGAGGGCAGCGAGACAGAGAGCGAGACACTGGGCGCAGGGCGAGCCTAGGGCGAGCCCGCGGATGACAGAGAAAAAAAGAAGACGGAATAGATTATGTTGATGCCGATGGGTGGCGTCTACCTCGAACGCACCTCGCGCACATCAGGCATTAAATATACGCCATGTCACAGCCACTCCCTCCATCGCACCCCACGTGGGCCCGTGGCGTAATGGTTAAGACCCTTGCCCCCACAACGTCTACATCAGCGGTTCGAATACCCGCCCGTCCCATTTTCCCTTTTCTAGATTTTCTTTTTGGATTTGTTTGGGCGTGTAGCCCTTGCCGCGCAGCCCGTGCGGTGTTGTCGGGTGACTGCAGGGCTGTCCACAAGAACCCATTATCAACTCTGTCAAAGTAATCCAAAGTGCACGGGACTGGCCCGATGAAGCCGGGCTGCCCCTCCCCCCACCCACGTCGCCCCGCCCCGCCCCGCCCGGCTCGGGTGACTTGGTTTTGGCCTACACTCGCCAAACTTGGTGTGATTTCCGGCCTCGGAGCCAACACGACGAAAACGCGAGCCGCTGCCGGTGGGACGCGAACCCGCTCCAGAGTCGCTAGATAGGACTCGAGCCGAACGTGTGACCCCACCAATGGATTGCTCTCCGAACGAGGAATCCATTGGTGGGGTCACACGTTCGGCTCGAGTCCTGTTTAGCGACTCTGGAGCTCAAAACGCGTCCGGGGTTTTGCCCCCTCCACCGGTCTTCTGGCCCACTGTGCGGCCCCGTCAAAGCCCCCGAAATGACGCACTCATGCCGCCTTTCAAACGGAGCTTGATCACTTCTTGGTCCCCCTCCTCAAAAGGGGGCCGTGCCTTGCCGTGCCTTGCCTTGCCTTCCCGGCGTGTCGGCGTGCCGGGGCGGTAAGTTTCGCGGCAACTTCCAGTGATCTAGTGTGGTGCCGTCGCGGACCTGATGGACGACAGCCAGGCCAGATTGGGCTCTTCCCGGCTCGGCCCGGCTCTGACCCAGGCCGCCGTGATGACCCGCTTCTACAACTTTGATGCTGATTTTCCAGTCAACGGGGTGCGAGATAAGGGACCGGCCCCAAACGACCTGACTGCATCAAGGCGCCGCCTCGTTGCAATCACAGTGGCGCAACGAGTACAATCAGCTGGGCGGAAATGAGAACAACACGTCAAGTTTCAGGAATTAAAGAAATGTAAAAACGCGTATCACAAGAATTATTTTTTTTTTGTCTAAACTGTGCTGAAAAATGCAGTGTTTTTTCGTTAAAATCATTGATACAGAAACACATTAATTTTTTTACACTGTGCTAGAAACGAAAGGTTTTACATAAAAATCGTGAAAAAAGCAAAGACTGTACATTATTTCCTGTTTATCTTTTTTTAATCTTTTTTTTTTCAAAGTGTGCTAACGCTTGTTCCGCAGCCCCGGGTTCGGCGGGCGCATCGGCTCGTCCGTGCTGCTGGCCGGGCTGTCCATGCTGGCCAAGGAGACGGGGGTGACGGTGCTGGGCGTGAACCTGCTGCTGGACGTGTACCGGTCCTGGGGCTCGCTGCGGCGCGCCATCCGGGACGCGCGCTGGAACGAGGAGGCCGCGCTCTTCTCGCGCCGCGCCGCCAAGATCGTCATGTCGGTGAGTACACATTGGCCAAAAAAAGCGTTTTGAGCTCCAGATTCGCTAAGCGGGACTCGAACCGAACGTGTGACCCCACCAATGGATTCCTCGTTCGGAGAGCAATCCATTGGTGGGGTCACACGTCCGAAACCGTCCGCGCGGGAGGGAATTCCCAGAGACAAATGAATTCGATTTTGCCGCCAAACGTCGCCTTCGTCGGGGGCAATTTGAAGGAGGGGGCGCCTGGGACTGCCACAGAGAGAGAGAGAGAGAGAGAGAGAGAGAGAGAGAGAGAGAGAGAGAGAGAGAGAGAGAGAGAGAGAGAGAGAGAGAGAGAGGAATACTTCAGGGCGACTTGTTTATGTTGCAATACGACCCCTGCGTCGCGTGCGTCGCGGTCCACATCCGTCATTCGGAAACCAATACAAAGGCGGTGAGGAAGAGCCCTTGCAGTGGCGCGGTCGGGGCGAGGGCCGCGGGGACAGCTTGGACAGCCCGGAAGGTGTGGCGGAGGTGAGCGAAGGGGGAAGAAGGAGGAAAGTTGAACAACGCCGCGGTTTTACCTCCGCCCTCTCTCCCGTTTTGCAAAATGATTGATTCGATGCCGCCGGAGCTACTGACTCTTCATGCCGCGCCTTGACAAAGGCGCTGATGCCGGCGGAACGTTTTCGCAACAAGGCCGTGGTGGTGGCGGTGTCCCCTTTGATTCGAATCGCGCCGCCGGTGTCAGAAAACAAGTTATTTCAAACCGAACGACGGTGTCTTCATCGTTTTCTTTTTTTTTTCACGCGTCCCGCCTACTACCGAATGCATTGGAAACACATATCTGAATGTGAATCTGGTGGCCGTTCTCTCTCTTGCCTGTGTGTGTGTGTGTGTGGTGTGTGTGTGTGTGTGTGTGTGTGTGTGTGTGTGTGTGTGTGTGTGTGTGTGTGTGTGTGTGTGAACCCCTCGTTACTACGCGCTGAGAAACGAAACCGCGATGGGACTGGCGGACTGGAAAATTGCAGCCCGCTGCCATCCAAACGGGTGCGACTCGTCCGTGCCGTGCCGTGCCGTGCCGTCCTGAGCCATGGCCTGGCCGGGGGAACGGGGCTTATGAGGCTTATCCCGCGATTGCCAAAATTTGGATCGCGCGAACGCTCCCGCCTCGTGCTGAAGTGTTCGACGAGTTTTGTATTTTTAAAACGGTCAATGGACCAGAATGTGGCAAAGTCAGACCTGGAAAAAAATGAGCCGGCAATGACCGTGTAGTATTGCAACAACGGCATTCTTCATTCATCCTTTCATTTTCGTTGTTTTGGTGCTTCCCGAAATTCTTCCTACCGGATTGCGGAAACTTTTTTTTCCAATCGGGTGGAGGTTCGCACGCTTGTTGCTCTCCGGACGAGGCCTCCTTTCACCCCAGTGAATCAAGCTCAAGCATTGGCGCACTCGGCTCGGCTCGGCTCGGCTCGGCTCGGCTCGGCTCGGCTCTCGGCTCGGCTCGGCTCGGCTCGGCCCCCTTTGCTTGGTCAAATGGATGAGGGGATTGATGCTGATATACATACGCACGGCCGCAGAGGAATTGTGACTCCCACACTGTGCGATGGGAAGGCGAAGAAAAGGAGGAGACAAGAAGCGAGGGTTGCACAGTGGGCCAGAAGACCGGTGGAGGCGGCCAAAACTCTTGACGCGTTTTGAGCTGCAGAGTCGCTTAATGGGACTCAACCCAACGTGTGACCTCACCAATGGATTCCTCGTTCGGAGAGCAATCCATTGGTGGGGTCACACGTTCGGTTCGAGTCCCGGTTAGCGACTCTGGAGCTCGAAACGCGTCTGGAGTTTTGGCCGGCTCCACCGGTCTTCTGGCCCACTGTGGGGTGCAGGCCGGCACGCAGAGGGAGATAAGGTGAGCGAGTGAGATGGATTGGCGGGCGAATGAGTTGGACGGCGAGGAATGTGTTACACGGATGCGAATGGCGGGGCACTCGTTCAGCGAAGCAACGTTACGGGAAAAGAAAAACGGCGAAAAAAAGACCAAGTCTCTAAAACCGGCCGACACAAAAGGCCCCTCTCGTGATGATGCCGACGAAATTCTTCATTGAAACTACTCCAGTTTGGTTCACCGGGTGCCAACAGGAAAATCCCTGGCAGCATATTGCTTTCCTAGAACATTGAAAAAGTCGGAAAAAACGTTGTCTCGCTGCACGTACACTGCGTACCCGTTTCTGGCGAGTTGCTCGCGACGCGTCGTCTGCTTCCCACGCGGACCCCGCAGGCTTTCATATGGAAATGGCCGCCCTTCCCAGGACGTCCAGCCGGAACGGACAAACAGCTACAAGCAAGGGAAACTGTTTTAACGGCGGGGACGTTTTCCGGGTCGCAGGGCAAGCCTTTGTCGTGTGTATGTAGTGTGTGTGTGTGTGTGTCTGTGTGTGTGTGTGTGTGCGCGCGCGGAGGCCTTCCTTTGTGCTTGCCGCCTCCTTCCAGTAGGTCAAGCTCAAGGACAGTTCCCTCGTGTTTACTCGGTGGCCCTGCCAAGGCCCTGCCCACCTCACAGTGGATTTGCCAGAGGACCGGTGGAGGCGGTCATAATCCCGGACGCGTTTTGAGCCCCGGAGTCGCTAAATGGGGCTCGAACCGAGCCTGTGACCCCACCAATGGATTGCTCTCCGAACGAGGAATCCATTGCTGGGGTCGCTCGTTTGGTTCGAGTTCTGTTTATCGACTCTGGAGCTCAAAACGCGTCCGGGATTTTGACCACCTCCACCTGCCTTCTGGTCCACTGCGCACCTCTGGGTCACACCGCGCAATGCTTTCGCGTCTTTTCGGATACTGTGTGGTGCGCCGCCTGCCCCTGCTTCCACTTTTCCGCTCTTGCCCGTGGCATGGCTACTGTTTGATGTTTGTAATGACCTAAAAAAAAGACGACAAAATAAAGCGATTGACGGCAACACCTCGGCGTCCGTCGTCGTTTGGACAAACAACCTCAGCCACACTCGAAAAAGCTTTCATTTTTCTCGGTAATTTTTCCTGTTTCCGGCCTTTATAATGGCAGGAACATTTTTCCGTATTTTTTTATGAGTTTGTGGTTTTGTGAAGTGTGCCGTGTGTAGGAAGTTGGCTGACTGACAGAACAGACCGACAGACAGACGAAAAGGCAGTTTAGCGGCGGAATGCACTGCAGGTGTGCGAGTTAATGCATAGTCGAATCTACCAAACTTTTCCGCGCTGCGCAGTCGCTGATGCATGTATAGATGGGCGTGTCCACTTCACGGCCCAACTCAGTTCGCGCACTTTCGCACAGCTTGCGTTACGTGGAGGAAAACGGGCTAATATCCTGAAAAAAAAAGAGATTTTGGAAACGAAATTTGCGGATGGAAAATTTGGAGAGAGACGTAACTCGTTTTGTTTTGTGTTGCAGCTGAGCGTGCTCGTGGTGTTCCGGATCGCCCTGCTACAGGGCAGCATGCCCAAATTCTCGCAACAGGATAACCCAGCGGCATTCCACCCCTGCCCGCAAGTGCGGTGAGTACAAACAAAAACACCCCTCCTCTTGTTGTTGTCCTTCTTCTTCTCGTCCTTGGCGTCCCCCTCCTCCGCGTCACGTAGGGCTATTCCGCTCACGTGCGTCAAACACGCACTGCAGCGTGCTATGCGACTTTCCCGCCAGAGAGTGACGTGTGTTAAATAAGAGAGCAGAAAGCCTTTTCCGAATTCTCTGTGAGGCGCGGCGGCGCGGCAGTGTCGCTACGCCCTGCAGCCCTGCAGCCCTGCAGCGCCCAGGGGGGCTCGCTGAGACGGCGATACCCGACGCACAGTGGGTCAGAAGACCGGTGGAGGCGGCCAAAACTCTAGACGCGTTTTGAGCTCCAGAGTCGCTAAACAGGAGTCGAACCGAACGTGTGACCCCACCAATGGATTCCTCGTTCGAAGAGCAATCCGTTGGTGGGGTCACACGTTCGGTTCGAGTCCCATTTAGCGACTTTGAAGCTCAAAACGCGTCCAGGCTTACAAAAAAAGTAGGACCTGGGTTCTAGTTTTCAGTTGGCCGTGCGGCCTTTTTTTTCGGCGATCGCAACGCCAGCCGCAACAAAATAAATTCAGAAAATCCCCCCCTTTTTCCCCGGACAAAAAAGGGGGAAAATAAAGTATAAAAATAAAGCATGAAAGGAAAGAAGAGGCACGCGTGTGGCCTATGGCCAGCCCCGGCCAGCCCCATGGCTAGCCCCATGGCCGGGCAGCTAAAGCTGAAAAGAAAAAGCAACGGACGTCCTCCTCGCCTCTCCTCGGCCCTTTCACCGGGTTTTCACCTTGAGGCGCACTTTGGACGGGATCCCGCACCGCCGGACTGCGTGCGGCGCGGTGCGGCGCGGTGCGGCGTCGCCTCCCCGGGCACCCCCCCCCCCCCCCCTCCGCACGCACAGCCTTGGTGCCGTAAATACGTGACCGGTATGTGCAATACGTAATTACGTGTACCGAGCGTACGGGACGCATGTGGGAAGAGGAGGGGTGGCGGACGGGCGGACGGACAGACAGGCAGACAGACAGACCGACTCGCTGGAAGAAAGCCCGTGCTGAATAACGTTGTGCTTGAGCCAGACGCATGGGAATTTGGTGAAGTTGGTCGCGAAGGCGGCACAGTGGGTCAGAAGACCGGAGGAGGCAGACAAAATCCCGGACGCGTTTCGAGCTCCAGAGTCGCTAAATGGGACTCGAACCGAACGAGTGACCCCACCAATGGATTGCTCTCCGAACGAGGAATCCATTGGTGGGGTCACACGGTCGGTTTGAGTCCCATCTAGCGACTCTGGAGCTCAAAACGCGTCTAGGATTTTGACTGTCTCCACCGGTCTTCTAGCCCACTGTGGGTGAGTGCGAACTGGGAGAGCAGCCTGCGGCCGTTTTTCGGCGCGTGTCTCTCGCGCAGGGCGACATCGTTACATTCCGACATTGGAAGTTGGCGATTTTTGTTTCCGCCCGTGGAGAGGGAGGCTGGGACCGCGGAAACTGTGACGACGGCCACTTCACTGTACGACTCTGCCTCTCTGCCAGTGCAGTGGAAGCAGGCAGGGCTGCGGGGGCTTCGGTTGCTTTACCTGCCGCGCACAAAGGGATCGAATGCTGCTTCTCGCTGACTTTCTGTCCGTCTGTCTGTCTGTCCGTCCGTCCTCCTGTCAGTCCGTCTTTGAATGAAGATCAAGTGGGAGCCGGCGGGAATGAGATTCGACAAGTGGTGCATCTGTCCGTCTCCGTCTCTCTCTGCCGCCCCTACGGCACGCCGCGTGAGTGCGAGAGAGACGGCGCGTCTTTCAGGCTTCAGACTGGCAGGCTGGCCGACCGAGGCTGGCCGGCCAATAGACTCGCCTTGTTTGCACTGACCAAACGGCTGCAGAATCGCCAACAGCCACAAGGATGCAAAAGTGAAAACAGAGAAGCAGAAGGCGAAATAAGCTGGAAGAACCCAACCCGCGCCTCGAGAGAAAAACAATTATTTGTTTCAACTTTTTCATTTTCAATTTCCCAAATGATTTTATCTGTATTTTTTTTTAATTCTGTAATAAAGCTTTTTTTGGGAGGGTGTTATGTGTTCACAGTACATTGCGTGCCGTGTGTCGCCTTCCATCTTCCCCGTCTTTAGCCGCCTCCACCGGTCTTCTGACCCACTGTGTGCCGAGTCCGTCCAAATTATCGTTCTGCACTTCGTGACGACCTAGCCACCAATCAGCAAACGGCCGCCCCGCCGCGCCCCGCCCCGCCCCGCCCCGCCCTGACAACACCAAATGATGCACTCCACTCCCCGACAGCGTGACGGCGTGGTACACCCTCGGCACAGCCCGGCCACTGCCCATGGGGCGGCCAAAGGGGGGGGGGGGGCCTGCTGCTGCAGCCCCAAAGCGGCCACCAGTGCGCCACCAGTGTGCCACCCAGGGCACTGCAACTCCCTGGCCTCGTGTTATGCGGTCGGGGTTGGTTGAGTCTGGTCATGGCCTGCAACGCGCACACACACACACACTCGAGGGCACTGCAGTCATAACGTTGGTCATTCTGGCCTGCCCACAGCCCTCTAGGAACGCCCCGTACTCGAGCTCGAGAGCGTCCGGCCTAACTAACTCACACGCCTCTTTGTGTGTGTGTGTGTGTGTGGTGTGTGTGTGTGTGTGTGTGTGTGTGTGTGTAGCCAAACGCGAGTCTGTAGACTCATCTAACGCCTAGAGGCGTTCACACTGCGCCCACTGAATTTTTGATACTGCCTGCCAGCCTCGTCGGCCCGGCCTGTCGGACGCCGGACGGACGGACGGACGGACGGACGCTGAGCTAACGTCTCTGAGACTCGGAGAGCGGCATTCTGTCCGTTTGGTGGGTAATTCGTTTCGGACAAACTTGCCTGGGCCTGTGTTCCAGGTGTGTGCCTTGTTAAGTGGGGTTAGGAACGCGTCCACGGCGGCGTGTAGGCCCACACGGCGCCCACATCAAAAGAGTCGCGGTGGCTCGCCCACACCCACCGCCCTCTATCATTCCCCACCGGCCGCTGCGTTAAATGTCACCAACCTCTTGCCACGCTTTTCGAAATGATTTTTCCCCCGCATTTTCTTGCTTCTATACTTCTTTGTTCGGCGAAACTTCCACCATGAATGGCCTTTCGGGCGGGCGGGCGGTCCTCGCAGTGGTCGAGTCACTCCCCACCCCCACCCGCGTCACGGCGGCCAGGGCGGTCACGGCCCGCTGGAAACAAATGAAAGTCGTCATGGAATCGTTATTCCGTACGTGGTGCCCACACTGGCAGCGGAGAAAAATGGCGCGAAAAGCTTGCGGTGCGTGAAGGCGGGCCGGCACAGTGGGCCAGAAGACCGGTGGAGGTGGCTGAAACTCTAGACCCGTTTTGAGCTCCAGAGTCGCTGAACAGGACTCGAACCGAACGTGTGACGCCACCAATGGATTCCTCGTTCGGAGAGCAATCCACTGGTGGGGTCACACGTTCGGTTCGAGTCCCATTTAGCGACTCTGGAGCTCAAAACGCGTCTGAGTTTCAGCCACCGCCACCGGTCTTCTGGCCCACTGTGGCGGGGCGGGGTTGCGTGGTCAAGTGGCGGCCTATTCAACACCAGCTGTCATAGCGCATTGGCCGCCACACCGCTAAGGAAGCGAACGGTAGTCACGGGCTTTATCGAGGCCACATTTCACGTCGCAGTGTCCGTGCCCAACGACTCGTGGCACTGCCCACGGACAGACAGACAGACAGACAGACAGACCAGCAATGTGGGCAAACCGAAGCAACAGTGATCAGTTACTGAAGAGCACTCGGTGGGTCTTTGCATTTTTCCTTGTACACTTGGAGGAAAATTGGTACAGAGATTCTTGTTTTTTTGTTTGTTGATTTTTTTTGTCAGTGTGTCGCAACGGCAGAGACGCACCTTTCGCCCTGGAAGGCGGCTGCCTATGGCGCTGCCTGGGGCTGCCTGGGGTTGCCTGGGGCCATCAAAGGCCACCGGATGTCAAACGAAAAGATGAGTTGCGGCGGGTCGGGACCGCTGCCGATGAAAACACTTGCCAGTGTGTGTGTGTGTGTGTGTGTGTGTGGTGTGTGTGTGTGTGTGTGCGTGTGCGCGCGCGCGGGCGTGCACGCGTGTGTGTGTTTGTAAGGGGGAGGTGACCGTGTTTGTAAAGGATGATGGCACGGAGAAAGAGGAGGCTGCAGTAGATTTTTACGATGTTGAGAAATGATCTATCGGCGACATGGTGAGTGTGCGTGTGTGCGTGTCCTCGCCACAAAACTTTCGCCGCCATTCCCTCTGATAGAAGCATAGAAACAGTCCACCCTGCGTGCGTGCGTGTGTGTGTGCGTGAGTCTGTGTGACACGGCTCTCGGTGTGTGAGTGTCAACCCGGCCGTTTGCGCGTGCTTGCACCTTTGGGTACATCAGTCATGTCGCGGGATTTCCTCGGCCACGTCGGCGAGGCCGTCAAGGACGTCAAGGACGTCTGCGTGCCTGGGGCCGCCGCCCGCGCCGCAGCACGCCATGCCCCACCTGCTCCAGGCTCCTCTCGGGAGGCTCTCTTACACAGTGGGCCAGAAGGCCGGTGGGGCGGCCGCAACTCCAGAAGCGTTTTGAGCTCCAGAGTCGCTAAATGGGGCTCGAACCGAACGTGTGACCCCACCAATGGATTCCTCGTTCGCAGAGCAATCCATTCAGCGACTCTGGAGCTCAAAACGCGTCCGGGATTTTGACCACCCCCACCGGTCTTAGCATTTAGGGTGTATTACTTTTCAAACAGGTCTTTGCAAGTGCTCTACTTTACAAGCGGCCCCCCTCCAGCCGGCTTCCATCCCTCCTCCTCCCCTTTCCTCCTCCCTCTTCTCCTCCCCCCTCCCCGCAGCCCATTGCGACCCAATCGTCCAATCTACTGTTGCGATAGACATTGCCGGGCTGTTAGCCCTTATCACTGCGATAGCGGTGCTAGCGGTGTGGTGGCGCTTCACGCTCGCTTCACGCCGCCGTGGCGTGGCGCGGCGCGCCGCACAGTGGGCCAGACGACCGGCGGAGGCGGCCAAAACTCTAGACGCGTTTTGAGCTCCAGAGTCGCTAAACGGGACTCGAATCGAACGAGTGACCCCACCAATGGATTGCTCTCCGAACGAGGAATCCATTAGTGGGGTCACACGTTCGGTTCGAGTCCCGTTTAGCGACTCTGGAGCTCAAAACGCGTCGAGAGCTTTGGCCGCCTCCACCGGTCTTCTGGCCCACTGTGTGGCGCGGCGTCACTCCTCCCCTTGCCGACAGAGGGCGCGCGGCGCGCGGCACACGCTGACCGGCCAAATCTCGTGATTGTATCCCCGCGGAATTGCTTTCAAAGTGTCGAGGCATTAAATTAATTCATTTGCAGATTAAAGCGCAGGTGCGCGGGCTTCTATTTCCCGGGATCCTTTCCCTCTCCCTCTCTCTCTCTCTCTCTCTCTCTCTCTCTCTCTCTCTCTCTCTCTCTCTCTCTCTCTCTCTCTCTCTCTCTCTCTCTCTCTCTCTCTCTGAGTGTGTGTGTCCCGAGTGGCCGCCATGGAAAGCACAGCGGGTTTTGATAAACGCTGGGTACTCACAATAAACATTGTGTGGCTCGTGGTGGAATGAAAAAAGGTGTGTGTGTGTGTGTGTGTGTGTGTGTGTGTGTGTGTGTGTGAGCGTGTGTGTGAGTGAGCGGGGGCGGGTCGGTGGGTAGGTGTGCCACAAAAATAAGTTTTGGGTTCCACCCGGAAAATTGGGTCAGCTTGCGACCACGGCGTTGTGTTTACCTACACCCCCCTTCCTCTGCGCGCGTATGCGCCTAGGCGCCTCCAATGTATATGTATGATGTATTCGTGTTCGTGTGTGTGTGTGTGTGAGCAAGTGTGTATATGTATTGTTGTATGTGTGTGTGTGTCTAGACCACGTGTGTCGACTCGTGTTCGTTTGTGTACGTATGAACACGTGTGTGTATGCGCGCGCGCGCGTGTCATCGCCGCCTCTGATATGCGTTCTGCTCAGGTGGTGCCACGAAACAAACATTCGCATAAATCTGCACACATGAGGCTCTATGCAAATGAGACGGAACTTTAACTTCCACCACGTCGCGTCGCCTTTTCCCCCGGCTCTGTTTTGTTGATCTCTCTTTAGTCACAATCTCTGTGCATATTTACGTGTATAGGGGATGAGAGACTCCTGCAGATTTAGAGAGACAGGGGCGGGGGCATAACAATACGGAGACCCGGGCACTATCAGCCATGCCATGCGCCCGGTCCTCGCCGTTCCGCCTCTGGCGTCTGGGCGGGCGGACGGACAGACAGACAGACAGACAGACAGACAGACAGACCGGCAGGCTGGGCAGACGGACGCACGGGGATCTTCTGCGACACAAACCCTCCCCGACAAGACAAGTCCCCCACATGGATCGCCATGGGACGCGCGCAAGGGACGAGAAAAAAAGAAGATGGGGGAAAAAAAGGGAAGCGGACCACACCGGAAGTTAAATCATTCTGACTCGCCTTCGAATGGTGGCGATGCAGACACCTCGACGGACAAGCGGACAGACAGACGGACAGACAGACAGACAGACAGACAGACAGACAGACAGACAGACAGACAGACAGACAGACAGACAGACAGACAGACAGACAGACAGACTCTCGGGCAGCCAGCAAGTCGCAAGCCCACGGGGGGCCAACAGATGCAACAGAGAGACGCGCCCGGCAGGTAGGCAACTTTTCGCTCCGCTGCTCCACGGGCCTGCCTACCCTTGGGTTGACAGGCGCTTCAGGACGCTCCCTGTGGTTCGACGGATAAATTCGGGAGTTGACTGCAGTGCAAGTCGGTTTGTGGTGCAGGAGGGCGAATCTGCTCGACAAACACTCTCTCTTTCCCCCTCTCTCACTTCAAGCCGTCATTCCATCCGCCTTTGTATGCTGATCAATGCGAGCCTCGAGAACAGTGTCACCTCCCTGTCACCTCTCCGTCTGGGAGCGCGCTTTGGTCGAGTCGGCGGTTCGGGGTTCGACTCCCGGCGAGGCCATTTGCACCTGTGCCAACAGAGTAGGGCTGACCAATCGAATTGCTTTCTTCGCTCTCAAACAATCCCAACTCTGAGGGACCCATTCCGGGCGGGAGTATGCCCTAAACGGCGTCCGGGGGAAGAGCTGCAGAAGGGGCTGAAGTTGCCCTCAAGTTGCTCAAGTTTCAATTAAAGGGGGCGGTCTGCCTGAGAGCCCGGGCCTCGGCCTGGCCGGCCTGGACGCCATACCTGGCCGAAACTCGGCAAACCACCAAAGTGATATAAAAAGGAGGGAACAATTGGAGCCAGTGTAGTGCCAAAGCCGTCGCCAAGTTGCGGGGGAGGGAGAGGGAACAGGCTCGGGCTCGAAATACCAATACCCCGCGCCAAAAGTCGCTAGGCGAGGGGGTATTGCCGCCTCAACGTGGGCCAGAAGCCTGGGGGCCTGGCCTGTGCTTTCCCCCGGAAAAGCCAGTGTAGTCGGGACGTCTTGGTAATTGCGTTCCGGTGTTGATTCGCGATTCCGAGATTTTATTAAGTGCCGCCGGAACTCCGGAAACAGGTCGCTGGAGCCCCTTGACGATTGGACGCCAGCGGTGCAGTGCTTCTCTGTCTCTCTCGCACTCGCGGGCCGCGGCGGGCGGTCCGGTCAAACACTGCGTCCCTCTCCAGCGCGGCTCCAGGCAGTGCAGGCTCCAGCAGCCCGGACCTAATTATCAGCCAGGTCGATACAAAGACGGGACAAAAACCGGAGCCTCTTCAAACAGAAGCGATTGCGGGCCCAAAGGCCCAAAGGCCCAGAGGCCCGGCCGAGCGCTGAAGTGGGTTCCTGGTCCTCATCGCCGCTTGGAGTAGCCATCACCACAATCCAGACGCCGCACCGGTCTTCTGGCCCACTGTGCGCTGTCGGCCTGGCTGCACTTCGTGTCGCCCACTCGCTCTGCAAACGGAGGCGCCGCCCGAAAACGATAAATAATTTAAAGTGCGATTTGACGGAGCCAAGTGCGGTGATGTACGAGGGCGCGGCCGGCACGGCGCTGCCTGGATACAGGCGCTTTGTTTATTCACAGAAAAGGGATATGCACTGCGATGTCGAACCAGCGCGCCGCCAGAGAGTTTGCACAGTGTGCGTGCGTGTGTGTGTTTGTGTCTGTCTGTCTGTGCGGATTGAGCTCGCAAGCCGTTCAGTAAATTATGCGTTTCGGGAAATTTTGTTTGAGATAAACAAGGGACGATTACAAATGCTCGCGCTGCTTACGTAATCCTATTATTGTGACGCGAAGGAAAGCACCGGGCGGGGAGAGTGGGAGGAGGGGGGGGGGCAATAGGTTTGAAGTTAGGCGGGCAGAATCAAGAGGGTCGCTCCTCTGTAGAAATGGCTCATTTAACTTCATTCAATTTTTAGTAATTTTTTGTTGAAGTGTTTTTTTTTTCAATCTTTAGTTTTTGGTTCCTGTATTTACTCCAGTAGTTCCTCCATTTACTCCAGTTCCTCCAGTTCCCCCGCTGTGTTGCCCCGCCTTGTTCTGTTTTATGGAGTGGACGCATTTCACAGGTCAGTTGCTCCAACTTCTCCTGTGTGCGTTATGAAAATGCATATTTTATGGCTGTCAAATCTCAGCGAATAACTCTCCACTGCTGCGCTCTGGCGGCGGGGCAGGGTGCGGCGGGGCGCGGCGGGGCGCGGCGGGGCGCGGCGGTACGCAAAGTTTACACTTGTCGCTACCCCCACCACCGCTGGCACCGCGCCCCACCGCGTCGCCGCCGAGACAGGTTTAAGCAAACAAAAGTTACGTCTTTTCTCGTTGGCGCCAAACTTTGAAATTAATGTTGGTCTTCCTACAATGTAGGGGCTTGGGAGAGCGACAGGTGTGTGATGCTGCATCGATGGAAAGAAACGGTTTGGCGGGCTGGGTTTTGAACCCGCGACCCTCTGCTTGCAGGCTTCTCACGTTCTGCTACCTGGCGGCGCTCAACTGCTGGCTGCTGCTGTGTCCCACCACACTGTCGCACGACTGGCAGTTCGGGTCCGTGCCGCTGGTCACCTCGCTGGCAGACTGCAGGAACCTCGCCACCTGCGCGCTGTTCGGCGTGGGCCTCCTCGTCGCCTACCGCTGCTTCGTAGACTTAGAGGTGAGTCCGGCCGCCCCCTTCCAAGAGTCCCGTTGATTATTGGGAAATATTGGGGATTATTTGAGCGCCGACCTCGGAAAGCTGTAAAAGTGTCGGAAATTCAATATTGGTGACTTTGGGCAGCCACTGCATCAAATTTAGTCGCGGTCATAGGCCTTCCTCGATGCCTTACTATTCTGCAGACCCTATTCTTTCATGCCCCGCCTCGGGAAGGCTTTGACCGCTGATAGTTTGGGAGCAGTGGTCTCGCAAAAATGGTCAAAAAGTGAATGAATTTCAGAAAATCACCGTTTTTGCTGACTTTGAGCGGTCACTGCATCCAATTTAGTTGCGGTCAAAGGCCTCCCTCGACGCCTTACTATTCTGAAGACCCTACTCTTTCATGCCCCGCCTCGGGAAGGCTTTGACCGCTGATAGTTTGGGAGCAGTGGTCTCGCAAAAATGGTCAAAAAGTGAATGAATTTCAGAAAATCACCGTTTTTGCTGACTTTGAGCGGTCACTGCATCCAATTTAGTTGCGGTCAAAGGCCTCCCTCGACGCCTTACTATTCTGAAGACCCTACTCTTTCATGCCCCGCCTCGGGTAGGCTTTGACCGCTGATAGTTTGGGAGCAGTGGTCTCGCAAAAATGGTCAAAAGTGATTGAATCCCCGAAAGTATGATTGTTCATTGGATCCACTGCTTGCAGATCCAGAGGCACCCCCCGCTGGTGCTGGGCCTGCTGTTCCTCTGCGTGCCGTTCCTGCCCGCCTCCAACCTGGTCGTCACGGTGGGCTTCGTGATAGCGGAGCGGGTGCTGTACATCCCCAGGTGAGGTCCGCGCCATCAGAGTGCTGCCCCCCGAAGTGGCTCGCGCTGACAGTGTGTCTGCCCGCAGCCTGGGCATGGTGCTGCTGGTGGTGTACGGGCTGCAGCTGCTGTGGCACGCCGTGCTGGTGCGGCAGCGCACGCTGCTCCTCGTCGCCGCCATGCTCGTCCTCGGCTCCTTCTGCCTCCGGACCGTGGCGCGCAACAAGGACTGGACCTCGAGGGAGACCCTCGCCCTGTGAGTACACCTTCATACGTATTTGCGCAAACGGCGCACGCACACGAGGCGGGCCGAAGCCTGAGCGACGGCCCACAGTGGGCCAGAAGACCGGCGCAGGCGGACAAAACTCCAGTCGCGTTTTGAGCTCCAGAGTCGCTAAATGGGACTCGAACTGAGCGTGTGACCCCACCAATGGATTGCTCATCCGGACAGCAATCCATTGGTGGGGTCACACGTTCGGTTCGAGTTCCATTTAGCGACTCTTGAGCTCAAAACGCGTCCGGGATTTTTACCGCCTCCGCCAGTCTTCGCTGCCTACTTTTAACAGTGTAGCAAAACACGGAAGCCCTGCGAAGGCCGGCACCCGTAGCGGGCCGCTGCACGAGGGCTGCACGAAGTCTGAGCGAAGTCTGCTATTTGCAGGCAACAGAGACAGGCCCGCAGTGCAAATAGATCCATGGCTGAGTAAACAGACTGATGTGTAGGGGGTTGGAACAAACCGATGTGCAGGGTGTGCGACAGAGACAGAGACACGCGGAGGGGCAGGGGAAAAAAAATCGAAGTGGTCTGTGTGGAGCACCGTGATGGCGGCAGAGTAATTTTGACGTCGCGCAGAATACATGTGGCAAAATCGCTGTGGCGGACACAGTAATGAAACTTGTGTCACGTTTAGGCGAACTTTCTTTTGAGAGTGTGCTGGCGGCCCGGAATTTGCCTCTCTGTCTCTCTGCACTCGTTCGCTACCCGATTGCCACTCTGAAGACGGAGGGCCGGCGGACGGGGATAGAGCGGGGCTGGCAGCGTGGCTGTCTGCCTGGCTGCCAGCTCGGCGCCAATTCTAGGCGAGTGGACCTGATGTACCGTCGGCCCTGCCGGTCGGTGCCGAAGCGGCGCGTCCGTCTCACTCCCACGCACGGGGCGCCCCGCAGGGCCGCAGGGGTGCGAGAGAGACAGAGCGACGGCCGCCGCGTTCGGCTTGCACTTGCCACCTCACCGCGCCGAGCCACGCCGCCGTGTGTCTCTGTCGCGCTTCGACGGCGCGGCCTTCGCTCAGCGCGCGCTTCTTTCCATCCCCGCTAGACGGAGCGCGTGGAGGCGGCGGCGGGACAGTGCGAGATCTACACTAATTCCACCCCCACCCCTTCGCCCCCACCTGGGCAGGCGCGTGCGTTCCGTGTGGTTCACTGTAAAGCCCTCGAGCTGTAGGGCTTCAGGCTTCAGGCAACTGTCCGAAAAGAGTGACAGCGCAGGCGCTGCTTTTGGGTGCCACTTCCGGTGCCACTTCCAGTGCCACTTCCGGTCGTTCCAATCGAAGGCCGTTGTCTCGGCTTTGTTGTCGCGGCGTGGCAGCTCTTGTATTCACGCACGTCTTACTCTTTCCCTCCCTCCCAGCCCACAGTGGGTCAGAAGACCGGTGGAGGCGGCCAAAACTCTAGAAGCGTTTTGAGCTCCAGAGTGGCCAAATGGGACTCGAACCGAACGTGTGACCCCACCAATGGATTGCTCTCCGAACGAGGAATCCATTGGTGGGGTCACACGCTCGGTTCGAGTCCCATTTAGCGAGTCTGCAGCTCAAAACGCGTCTGGAGTTTTGTCCGCCTCCACCGGTCTTCTGGCCCACTGCGCGGCCCCGCGACACTACTTGTGTGTGACAGTAAACACCTCTGGTGGTCCTCCGCCATCGAACGGCCCGGCGCGGCTCGTCAGGGCGCGGCCCGGTCCTTGTTGCGTTTACTTGCGGAACAAGTTGGGGCGTTTGGCCGTTCGGCACACAGGACAGGGAAGGGATCGACCCGCATGCAGGCCGCGCCACGCCACGCCACGCCACGCCACGCCACGCCACGCCACGCCACGTTCGTGTTTGACAGCACCACCCACGTCATGTAACCGGCTTTTCCGAGTCCTCCATCGGAAAATGCCAGAGCATTCGGCCGCACACCGACAAAAATACAAGGAAAACGGCAGAAAATGGGTTTTCCTATTTTCGAAACATGAGGGATTTTTTTAAAATTTTGAGTCAAAATTCAAATTTGAGTTTTGAAATTAAAAATGTCGTTTTGGTATTTTTCTGGGTAAATTTTTCGACTCACAACTCGACATTGACTCACATTTTTTTTTTTTCAAAAATAGCAAATCTTTTTGTTGTTGTTTTTTTTGGGGGGACATGCTCGCGTTTCAGCCTCGCTAGACGTCATCCTGGGCAGCCTCTCGACTTGGCCGCGCACGTCACGCAAGAACGAATTGAAAGGGGGTTCGTCCTGGACAGACTGGTGCCGAAACGGGGCCTCCTCTCTCTCTCTCTCTCTCTCTCTCTCTCTCTCTCTCTCTCTCTCTCTCTCTCTCTCTCTCTCTCTCTCTCTCTCGCCATGGGGAGTCCCGCACGGGTGTGCGAGAGAGACAGAGACGGTCCAGGAGTCGCAGTGCCACTTCTTGCGGTGGCTCTCCCGCTCCGCTACGAATGAAAAGCAGTGCCATCTTTTCATTGCCCTGCCCGCAATCCTTCCCCGCTCCGCTCCGCCGGGCGAGGCAGCGTTTTTCACGCTTCCACTGAGAGAGAGGAAGGCGCGCTATTTCGGTCAAGGCCCCCATCCCCCTCGCAGAAAACAAAACGAATCGGATGGCGTATCAGCAACTGGGTTCCGATTTGTGGCCACAAAGGCGTGTCGCCGTGGGGCCCGGGCCCCGGGCCCTGCCGCGCCGCGCCGTCCGTGCCACGCCGTGCCCGCGGGCCGGCCGGCCGGCCGCCCAGTGAGGAGGAGTGGCGACCCACAGCGCCAAGGCGGCGCCCCGCCTGACCGGTCAAAGGCGCCACGGTCTGAAAATAACAATAAATTTGGAAATTTTCCAAAAAAAAAAAAAATTCTTACAGAAAAAGGCAATGTTGCATGCCGAACGTGTTTCCGCCTCTGAAGTTCTCACCGACTCGGAGCATACGCGGTGCAGGTCGGGTTGGAGATATCCGGATCCACTGTGCCGCCGCCGGAAGTCCTGACATGTGACACCCCCCCCCCATCCCCTCCCCCCCCCCCCCCCCTCCCCGCCGCAGCACCGCCTGCCACCCCCTTAGCATTTCCCTGCAACACGCCATTGGGACTATCCTCGTTTGAAAGGGGTACCCTGCTCGCGTAGCCGAGGGGCTTCCATCCGTGCTTTCGGCTCGCTGGGTCGCCGGTTCGACTCCCGTGCCTTCCCGTTTTTTGTTCGCGACTGCGCCTTGAAGTAGGCACGTATTAAGGTGGCGCTGTGTTCTTCTGGGCAGTGTACGTGCCAGAGTGGACTAGAATAGCGGTGGAGGCGGCCAAAACCCCCGACGTGTTTTGAGCTCCAGAGTCGCTAAATGGGACTCGAACCCACCGGGGAACCCCCCCAATGGACTTCTTGTTCGGAGAGCAATCCATTGATGGGGTCACACGCTCGGTCCAAGTCCCATTTAGCGACTCTGAGGCTCAAAACGCGTCTGGGGTTTTGGCCGCCTCCACCGGTCTTCTGGCAAGTCCACTGAGCGTCCCGGCGTGCACAGCGAACGGCACCCATCGCTCTCACCGATTTTCCTTATTGCACCGCCATCGAGGTGAGGGGATTGGCTGTCGCGCTGTCGCCATGGCAACCGGGTGGCCGTCACTCGCAGTGGCCTGGTCATTGAGGGGGAGGGGGAGGGGACTTGATGCTCGGCCGGAGCCTACTGCTGAAATAGAAAAACAACGCGACGTCGGTGGTACTTGAACCCGAGCGATTTGGCGTGTTCCAGGTCCGGCGTCCGGGACATGCCGAACAACGCCAAGCTCCACTACAACATGGGCAACACGTACCGGGACACGGGCAGGAAGCCGCCTGCCATCTCGCACTACAAAGAGGCCCTGAGGTAAGTCGGCAGGACACTGGAAAACATTCCACAAATTTTTTGGCGTTCTTTTTTAGCGGTGAAAACGGCGTTTAGATTCGGAGTACAGGGCAGCCGCTCTTGTGATTCTGCACGGGGGTTCGGAGCGACGCCTCTCCTCTCGCTCTCTCGCACCGCCGCGTGACGAGTGTTGACTCTCTCGCTCCGCGGCTCCGGGCGCGTGAAGGCGAGGCGACAGCGAGAGCGCGCTGACACCGCGCCACGCGGCGCCACGGGTTGTTGTCGTGTTCCTTTTGGCCCTTTCTCGCTGTAGTCTGCAATCGGAGCTTTGACGCGCAAGTGGCTAAACACGGCTACACTGTTACGCGCGGGAAAACAGAGCAAAGGGAGAAAAATGGGACGCCCCACAGCCAAGCCTGACAAATCGAGACTGATGACACGTCGTGGCATTAGGTGGCCACCCTCCCCCCCCCCCCCCTTCTCTTCTCTCTCTCTCCCTGCGCCCCGTGCGATATTTTTATTTCCCTCGTGTCTGCATTCTTTACCGCAATTAACACACACACACACACACACACACACACACACACCACCACACACACACACAAACCGTACCACCCCCTTCCTTTCCCCGTGCAGGCCGTGATATGTATACACAACAGGGTGATGTGGGGCTCATGTGTGATCCTGCAAGACCCCCTTTCCCCCCCCCCCCGGGCCCTCCTAATTTTCACGGAAATGCCGGTTAAATAGGATGAAGGTCCTCGCATAGAAGTCACGGTCCCCCTCTATTTCCCCCCCCGTTCCCCCCGACCTAAAAGATAAAATAAATTTATTGATCTGTCAAATTAACGTAGGATTTTTCCCCCCTCGCCCACCGCCATCCGCGAGCAAACCCCACTCCCTTTTCGGAGAGCGCAGTGCGGCTGATAATCGGGGGGCGGTGGGATCGGCAACTTTGACGGCCAGCCGCCTCGACTATAGTTGGCGCGACCGGGTTAGCCCGCACAGTGGGCCAGAAGACCGGTGGAGGCGGCCACAACTCCAGACGCGTTTTGAGCTCCAGAGTCGCCAAATGGGACTCGAACCGAACGTGTGACCCCACAGATGGATTCCTCGTGCGGAGAGCAGTCCATTGGTGGGGTCACACACGGCAAAAGTACCGCCTGGGATTCCCAGGCGGTGCCTGGAAAATAGGCCCTTTTCCCCATGATGCGCCTGGGAATCCCAGGCGGTACTTTTGCCGTGCACGTTCGGTTCGAGTCCCATTTAGCGACTCTGGAGCTCAAAACGCGTCTAGAGTTTCGTCCGCCTCCGCCGGTCTTCTGGCCCACTGCGAGGGCCGATCGGTGACGCTGACGCGGTCCATGCGGCCAACTTGGCCCCGGCAATCAGTTTAATTGTGGCGTCTGCTGGCCGTCTCTGTCGCACTCATGACGCGTAGCGAGAGAGACAGAGAGCAACGCGTGACGCACGCCGACAAAAACTACACCCGCCCCAAAACAACAACAACAACAACATCACAGATTCCTCGCTGCAAAACGAAACAACAACTTTGGGCCGGAATGCCGCGAGCCGGGCCGGGCTACACGCTGGGCTCCGCTGGGCCCCGCTGGGCTACGCGTGGCGGCATTCGAGCCATTCAAGCCCGCCAAAAGCCAACGACAGGAAATATTTTGGGGGAAAGCTGCACGCCGGTCGCTGCGCTGCGCTGCGCGGAGCCGGGGGGATTGCTCACTCAATCTTGATCGCCGCGCCATGGCTGCGCGGCGGCGCGCTTTTTGCGCTTGTTCTGGTCCGCGGCCATGAGCGCCATGCGAGCCGCGCTCTCCCCACAGTGTCGCGGTGTCTCTCTCGCTCGGCCGCCCGGCCGCCTGGGCGCGACAGAGACGGAGCGACGCCCGCCGGCTGCCGCCTGATAATGAGCTTTAAATTGCGGCCGAGCGATAGAGGCAATTATAGCGACGCTTTTTGCCGCGCTTCTTGATTTAGCGGCGCGACGCTTTGCCGCGCCGCGCTGCAGGTACTTCGCGGAGATAATTTTTGAGGAACGGGAGATCGTGCGGTGCCGGAAGTGCACTGCAATGGGAAGGGGGACCATTGTGGGTGGACCATTGCTACTAGAAGGGAGACCCACATAGAGCCAGAGGACCGGTGGAGGCGGACAAAACTCTAGACACGTTTTGAGCTCCAGAGTCGCTAAAAGGTACTCGAACCGAACGTGTGACCCCACCAATGAATTGCTCTCCGAACGAGGAATCCATTGGTGGGGTCACACGCTCGGTTCGGGTCCTGCTTAGCGACGCTGGAGCTCAAAACGCGTCTAGAGTTTTGTCCACCTCCACCGGTCTTCTGGCCCACTGTGAGGCCCTAAGCTGAGGGTGCCACATTCGGAGCCAGTTCTCGCATACCTCTCAAAACGTGACCGTCTGATGCTTGCAGGTTATGGCCCTCGTACGCGTCGGCGCACAACAACCTGGGCACGCTGGCGCCGTCCGCGGACGAGGCGGAGCGCTACTTCCTGTCGGCGATCCGCTTCCAGCCCGCGCACGTCAACGCCCACTACAACCTGGGCCACGTGTACAAGTGAGTGCCATGGGTGGAATCCGTTTGGAGCGCTTGAGACGCGTTTTGAGCTCCAGAGTCGCTAAAGGGGGCTCGAACCGAACGTGTGAGCCCACCAATGGATTGCTCTCCGAACGAGGAATCAATTGGTGGGGTCACACGGTTGGTTCGAGTCCTATTTAGCGACTCTGGAGCTCAAAACGCGTCTAGGGTTTTGGCCGCCACCACCGGTCTGCTGGCCCACTGTTTGGTTGTTCCTGACGTTGTCTTCGTCCAGGCGGGAGAACCGGACGGACGACGCCATCCGGATGTGGGAGCGCTGCATCTCGCTGGACCCGCAGTACGCCAGCGCGTACCTGTGGCTGGCCCAGCTTGAGGGCGCCGAACGCAGCGCCGAGCGCGCCGGCGAGCTGCTGCGTGCACTCAACCTGCGCTCCGGGCCGTGCCCCAAGCACCGCGCCGCCCTGGCCGACTGGCTGCTCTCCAAAGGTGAGTCTCTCTCTCTCTATCGGGGTGTGGTGGGTCCAGCCGACCGAGTGGCGATTTCGAGTCCCGCTCACCACAACACGGTCCCGTCGGTGGACGCGCTGCGCTAATCCCTGCCCGTGATTCCCCGAAATCGTTTATGAAGGAGCGCTGGATTTTGATGGTTTATTCCAAATGATGCGCCCCCCATTGTTTGGGTTTGTTTTCGGCGCCGCGCGGCGATATCCGCTACTGCGCCAACTCCCTCTCCCCCCCCCTCTCTCTCTTCTCTCTCTCTCTCTCTCTCTCTTCTCTCTCTCTCTCTCTCTCTCTCTCTCTCTCTCCCTCCCGTGGTGCGGGCCGGGCCGGCAGGGGCCGCAAACTGCATTACTCCAACATAAGTGAATTCCCTCACATTGTTTAGGAACCAATAATCGTATCAGGAGCCGGCCAGATGAGGCCTGCTGGTGAGGCTCAGGCAAGGCGAGGGTTAATGGGGGGAGATGGGCACCACCATTGGTCAGAGGGAGAGGGAGGGAGAGAGTAGACGGGCGCTGCCTCGGGTCAGACAGAGAGGGGAACTAGGGACTAGTTGAGGCGCGCACACTGTGTGCTCCACTTTGAGCGCGAGGCTGCACCAAGCGTGTGCACACTGCCCGGCGGGGCGTCGCTCTGTCTCTCTCGCTCCCCGACAGGGCGCACTGTGAGTGCGAGAGAGAGAGGCGAGGAAGCGACTGCTCGAAGAGGCAGCGAGAATCACTAAACCAGGAAACAGACGCGCGCCGAACAGGGCAGCCACGTCCGGGAATCGGGTTGGCCTGAGGGCGGTGCAGCACTGCAGTGTGTGGTGCGTGGCGTACTGCGTCCAGCGCGCGGCGCAGAGAGATAGTCCCACGGTTCCCCTGCGCCTCCCCCACCTCCTCGTCCAGTAGAGATGCCCAGCTGGGCGCCCAGCGCGCCGAAACGTTGTTACGAAAATGCAGGAACCGTCCGGCCGTGTTACACGCTAGCTCGAGTCCGGCTTACCGCAGACTGGTTGATTTCGCCTCCTCCTCTCTGACTACTGATGTACTGACGCACAGCGCACAGCCAGAATTGAACGTGTGACCCCACCAATGGATTCCTCGTTCGGAGAGCAATCCATTGTTGGGGTCACACGTTCGGTTCGAGTCCCGTTTAGCGGCTCTGGAGCTCAAAACGCGTCTGGAGTTTTGTCCGCGTCCACCGGTCTTCTGGCAAATGTGTGACACCTCTGTCTGTTGCAGGCCGGACCTTGGAGGCGCTGAGCTGGTTCCACCGCGCGCTGCGCCTGGACGCGCGCCACGCGCGGGCCTTCCTGGGCGCGCTGCGGGCCTGCGGGCCCTGGGGCAGCGGGGCCGCCTGCACCAAGTCACCCTCAGGTGAGTCTCCCGTCCCTGCGGAGCTGCGGAGCCGCGGCACGGGAAAAAGCGTCGGTGGCGCTTGGCGGGCGCGGCGGTCGGGACGGCAACCACCGGGGCGGGGCGGGGCGGGGCGGGGCGGGGCGGGGCGGGGCGGGCGGGGCGGGGCGGGGCGGGGCCCACTGGGAAATCACGGGATGCGTCTAATCAGCTCGGTACAGTCCGGCCCATCACCAAGCGCCAGCACAGCCCCGCCAAGCGCCCGCCAAGCGGCAACCAAGCGCCGCGGAACAGATCAAGTTTGCAGCGGACAAAGTAGTTACAGTGGCGCGTCTGGCCTGTCTGGTGCCATGGAAAAAGAAACAAGGTCCGTCGGTCTGTCGGTCCGTCGGTCCGTCCGCTCGTCCGTCTGCACGCAAATCTCCCTACACCGTAATGAGATTTTCCCGTTGATCGGAATTAAAACGGGGTCAGTAATGTGATGCGAATCGGGGCCACATATCGTGTAAAAGATTGGCGTTCCCGTGGGGCGGGGCAGGGCGGGGCGGGGGGCGGGGCGGGGCGGGGCGGGGCGGGGCGGGGCGGGGCGGGGCGGGGCGGTTCGGTCCAGTTGACGGCGAACTGTGCGGTTTGCATTAAACCAATGCGATTAAAACGCGCGCCCTTTTCGAATGGCTCGGCGTTACGATGGCGGGGTGGTGGGAGTACACGCAAAACAGTGTGTGCACACGCGAGCAATGAGAAAGAATTTGCGCGTTTTCGGCTAGGATTTTTCGACCCGCGACTGGAAAAAAGGCTTGTTGGAAAAGCGACAAGCTTTTTTCTCGTTCCTCCAGCCGGTTGAACGCACGGTGTCTGTTGACTGGCGACACGGCGACTGCGATGACTTGAGATTGGGATCATCTCTGCTCGCTGCTCCGGCCGAGAAAAGCTATCGTCCGACGCAAAACTGTCTCGCAGCCTCGCGCCAGCGTCGCCAGCGTCGCCAGAGAGAGAGTCCCATCACCCAGCCAATTATGGGGTAAGCTGTTTCGGCGGCATCTCGCTTCGATATCTCGAAGTGAGTCGAGCGGAGTCTCCCAGGGGCGGGCCGCCCTAGCTGCATGGCACTCCACGCACAGTGGGCCGGAAGACCGGTGGAGTCGGCCAAAACTCTAGACGCGTTTTGAGCTCCAGAATCGCTAAATGGGACTCGACCCGAACGTGTGACCCCACCAATGGATTGCTCTCCGAACGAGGAATCCATTGGTGGGGTCACATGCTCGGTTCGAGTCCCATTTAGCGACTCTGGAGCTATAAACGCATCGAGAGTTTTGCCCACTTCCACCGGTCTTCTGGCCCACTGTGTCACGGCGCCTCGTCAGAGGGCCCCGCCGGCCGGTAATAGAGCATGGTGCTGCCGGGGGAAAGAGCCGAGGCGTTCCAGGGTCGTTCCGAGCAGTTCCTGCGATGCATCTTCAATGGTTCCGCGGTAGTTCCGAGCTGTTTCTAGGATGTTTCTTGGATACTTTTGAGGCATTTCGTCCGGGATTTTCCTAGAATAGTTTCAGGGTACTTCCGGTAAAATCCCGGGGTCGTTCCTTGGTAAGGCCAGGCCAAAGGGTTGTTCCGTGGTGGTTCCAGGGTGTGTTAACTTCCATTCCCCCTGACGCGGCCAGCTCACTCTGCTAGTGACATCACGTGCCTTCGGCATCACTCCACTGTGACTGGCTGCTCCCTGCCGGATATCCGTATTTTTGTCGTCATCTCCCTAAGCCCCGCCAGCAGCGCCAGCGGCCCATCTTCGCTCCAGCGCCTTCCACTTCCACCGGCCTGGAGTCGGCGGAGTGGCGATCACTGGAAATAAGCCAGCCTCATCGGCACCGCCTCGCCGGGAGAGAGAGAGAGAGAGAGAGAGAGAGAGAGAGAGAGAGAGAGAGAGAGAGAGAGAGAGAGGCCAATCCATTCCTTTCAATCAAGCGCGGCCCCGACAGAACAAGGCATCTGCGGGCCACTGGCCCTCGCTACGGCCCACCTGCCTACAACTTTTTCCCAAAGCTTTTTCCGCGCCTATCCTTCATAAACACTTTCGCCTCCGTCCGTCCGCCGTCCGTCTGTCCGTCTGTCTGTCCGTCTGTTCGGCCGCGCGCTCATCCCCACCCGGGAATGTTGTTCCTAACTCAGTCGGCGCCTGCCAATACACACGTGTTGAGACATCAGTTTACCTGGGGTACGCCTCCCACCTGTTCGCCTGTCCGTCTCCCTGTCCGTCCGGTCTGTCAGTCCGTCTCACAGTGGGCCAGAAGAGCGGTGAAGGCGGACAAAACTCTAGACGCGTCTTGAGCTCCAGAGTCGCTAAATGGGACTGTGTGACCCCACCAATGGATTGCTCTCCGAACGAGCAATCCATTGGTGGGGTCACACGTTCGGCTCGAGTCCTGCTTAGCGACTCTGGAGCTCAGAACGCGTCTACAGTTTTGGCCGCCTCCACCGGTCTTCTGGCCCACTGTGCCCCGCGTGTGTATCAATCACACACACTGGTCTTTCCATCCACTCGCAAGCGGCTCGCGTTCTCGCAGGCGGAAGTGAGCGTGTGTCTCCTCATCAATCTTGTCGCGCCTCGCCTCCGGCCGGGCCTTCGGTCGGGCCTTCAGCTTGCCCTCCGGATTCCTGCAAGTTATCCCCGACAATACGTCTCCCGCATTGCCTCCGATCGGCCGCTAGCGCTAGCACAGCTGTGGAGCTCCATCAAACTCCGCGCTCTAGACTCTTTCATTGAAAAAGCAGCCTCTTGTTATCAAGTTTTTGAAAAATTCGTGTACCGAAGACCAGTTTCCATTGCCAGTGTCATTTTTTTTCGAGCGCGCGCAGCGCGAGACTGCCGGCTGGCGTCAGAAGGGTTGCCTGCCCCCGCCGCGGGCCCCGCCCGCCCCCGGCCGCCCCAGCCCGCCCCAGGCCGCAGGGAGGTGCTAGTGTGCCTACATAATGTATACAGCTGCGGGGCGGCGGGGCGCGCGGGGCGTAATAGGCGTTTTATATGCCTGCCCTGATCCTGAGATGTTTATGTGGTGTGTGCCGGGGCCGCCGGGGCGCCTTCGCGGCCGAGGGCGGCCGAGGGGTGAGGCGGTCCCCGACGGGGCTGTCGCGGTGGCGTCTGCGGACCTGCCCCAGCTGCACTGCCCTCTCTCTCTCTCTCTCTCTCTCTCTCTCTCTCTCTCTCTCTCTCTCTCTCTCTCTCTCTCTCTCTCTCCTCTCTCTCTCTCTCCTCTCCCTCTCGGAGAGCCACTTCGTCCACTGCAAGTGTGTTAGCATCGACGACCCCGGTTCCGGGTTCGAATACCGGCCGGCCAGCCTTTTGTCGCAGCGCGGCCCGGCCGGCCGGCCATTGCGGAGTAAATTTTATTCCGAATTCCCGGCGTCGTTGTCCGGCACCGCGCTGCGTGTGAACGCCCCGCCCTCTCTCTCTCTCTCCCTCTCTGGGGCGAGAGCGGCTAGAGAGAGAGACGCAGAGTCCGAGTCTGGCCGGCAGACAGTGTGGCGGCCAGAGGAATTCAATTACAGCGCTGTGGTGCATTTCGACCAGATATGGCTCGGCCGCAAACCTCCCCCACCCCCTTCCCCCCCCCCCTTCTCCTCTCCCCCTCCAGCGCCGCGGCGTCGAGGCGGCCATCGCAAGGTCAAGACGAAGGACGACTTGTTGTTATTTTTAATGTTTTTTGTTGTTGTTCTTGTTTTCGGCCTCCGGCTGGCGTCGAATCCGGGCGTCCCGGCTTGCCAGCCGGCGGCTTAACCGTTCCCGCCACGTTGCTGGAGGGGCTGGAGGGCGGCACGTGATACGCCATGCTTGCTGTTGCAGGTGGATGTCGCTCACGGCGTCGCGGCCCCCCAGGCTGTACCCCGGCGAGATGCCCGCCTCCAGGCACTGGGGGATCATCCTGCAGACCGTCACCGTGTCGCTCAAGCCCTTCAAGCCCGCCCTGCAGGCCAGATGCGTAAGTACACTGTCAAAAGCACACTGCGCGCAGTGGGCCGGAAGACCGGTGGAGGCGGCCAACATTCTAGACGCGTTTCGGGCTGCAGAGTCGCTAAGCAGGACTCGAACCGAACGTGTGA